CAAGATCGAGAGCTTGGAGGAGATGGAGGTGCACCCTAGATTGTTGCGTGCGCCCTAAGTTGGTGTTACGAACACAGGCCGTGATCCCGGGGGATCACGGCCCATGTTTGTAACAGTATATACTGTTCATGAACATGGCCGTGGGAACACGACCCATGGCTGTGTTCATGAAACACAATGAACACAACCAGGATCCCGGCCGTGTTCATAACACTCGTCCATAGCATTGGAATATCACCCAGCGATCCAGGGATTGTGCCAGAGAGTGAATTGTTGCTGAGATTCAGTGAGATGAGGTGGCCAAGTGATGCCAAGCAATTCATATAGACGACTAGTGCACTGTCCATGACTGTTGATTCGCGGCTGGGTTGCCTCGGCCGTGGACCTGTCCACCAATGCACTCTTGGACTTGCTTCACTTGGCACTTCCAGGGCCTCTAGAGCTAGGACCTCTTCCATGTATAACTGATCCATGATTGCAAAGCTTCACTGATGCTTGAAGGGTCTTCGATGTGATAATGGGGTGTCTCCGCCTGGAGAGTTTAGGAACACGATAGATCTTTCAAGCTAGTAGATATTGAAGATCTCCAGGCCTGCTGCAGTTCCACGTACATGAGCACTAAATGAACTTAGCAACGGCGAAGCAAGAATGGAGCTGTGGAGTTGGTCTTTTATAAAATAGAAGATTTATTATTTGTATTATTTATTTTAGTAACAGCTCGTTGGTTTAGTTTATTTGGAGCTTTTGTGAATGCTTGCCATCCAAATATTTTGTGTACACATTTGTGATGTGCTCTTGGTATAAGGTTGACTTGTAGAGTGGCGGGTTTTGCTCATCAATAAGTTCTGGCAGGGGTCCTATCACAGCATCCTGTGATGGATTGCAAAATGCCACGATGGAGAGACGAGTTTGATCAGGCTGGACAAGGACTCGGTGCTCAATGCTCTTGTATTTTCCATTGCTCAAAATCTGGCATGGAAACGAACAAAGCCATGATTGAAATCAATCCAAGTCACTTACTTCAAGCTGATCAGCGATGTTCACAATGAATGCATTCTTTATAGGCTTCAAGTCGTACCAGAGATCACCTTTCCTGGCCTGGAGTCCGCCAACTTGATCTTCAAACAGGATTGTCAAACCGCCACTATCGGTGTGGCCATTCATCCCAAGAGCAAGGTCGGGATTTGGGCACGGGGGATAGTAATTTGATCGCAAGATCATCTCTGAGTCTCCAAACGATTTCGCGAGGCAGTTTGAATCCAGCCCGAGTCCTTCAGACAAAGCAGACATCAGAGTCTGACTCAAATGTTTCACGCTTGAAACATAGCTGGAAGCGAGCCTCCTGCAATATCCAAGAAACCAAGCAATCTCATGAAATCCAGATTAGTCAAGCTCATTTACTTGTAGCAGGCTGGTTTTTCCGGCCATGGATGCTCTTTTTCTCTGTTTGAAAAGTAGTGCTGGAAGTGATCGTGCCACTCCATATGAGTCTCTTGAGAAGGTGTCATACTCGTGCAGTACCGCACGGGCACAAACACCTCCTCTGTATAATACTTCATCTTCTCCTCAATAGGAAGATCAAAGAGCTCAAGCACTCCATGGACCATGCCTTGCATGGTTGCAACAGGAATCCCGTGGTTGATCACCTGCATGTGACATCATATTATGAATGATCCTTTTGAGCAGGTACACATCAAAATACCTGAAAGATGCCCCATTCACTCGAAGCCTTGCACAAAGTTTGAACAAATTTCTCTCGGTCACTCTCCAATTCAGCCATGTCAATCACAGGGATCTCCACTCCAGGAACGATCAAATGCTTCACAGCTCGGTGGCTGGGAGGTTTGATATAACGGCCAGGAATGGTAACGAGGCCATTATCCATGAGAGCTTTGACACCCTTTGGAAGAACATCAGTCTGCTGATTGACATTTGCAACAAAGGAAGGCATAGCTACAAAATAGGAGGAAATAAGATGAACGAGATTCATAGAATTGGTGGGTTTATATAGTTGATTTTCATGATGTTAAAGTCCAAGTTGGTGGCCGCGAAAGATCTTTCTAGGTGGCAGCCCCCGTGGCCATCGCCTCAATTCCTTAAAACATCACGTCTTTTCTTTTTCGAGACTCTGGATAGTAAGCGACGAAGCCGGCAGCAGCAGCGAAGGAGGGAGCCGACATCGCGGCTTCGATTTTCTACATCCATCAGTCACGAGATTACCGAAATAACATAAATAGATAGTTGTCAAGCATGAGACTGATGGATTAAAAAATGCCAAGATTGAAAATTAGAGCTACATCTTGCAGATCTTCCTGGTCTTCAGTCCTTGTTGTGTGCTGCTTGGACACATTTTCTTTCTGGAAGGGACGTAGAAAAACTAAGAAAGACAGTGAATATGTTCTCTTTCGATTTGAATTCCATCCATATTTAAATATATGCTCTCCGCTCTTATTTCAATCTAAAGTTTAGCTTAGGATCATGGTTGGGACGATCAAACACCTCTATAACAGTCGATGGATGGTTGCATTGGCAAGTTTCTTCCTCATGATCTCCACGGGAGGATCACTCAACAATTTCAGTCTCTTCTCGCAGCATCTCAAGCTGTCCCTCGACTACAACCAAAAAAATATCAACACCATAAGCTTATTTAAGGACGTTGGCACCAGCGTCGGGATTCTCTCCGGCCTCGTCTATGATCTCACCGGGCCCTGGGTCGTGCTCCTCCTTGGATTTGCGCTAAACTTTGCTGGATACTTCACGATATGGCTGGCTACAACGCAGAGAATCGCACACCCCCATGTCTGGGAACTGTGCTTCTATCTCTTTATGATCGGCGCATCGGCAGCCTTCACCACCACCGCTGTTCTTGTGGCCTGTGCCAAGAATTTCCCCAAGAACCAGGGCATGGTTCTTAGTCTTCTCGACAGTACGCAGGGATTGAGCGTTGCGATATTCACACTGCTTTACCAGGCCTTCTTCTCTCACAGTGACGATTCATTCGTTCTCTTGCTGGCCTGGTTTCCATCGCTCTTGTGCCTTCTATTCGCGTTTTTCATTCGATCCGTCCCACTCGACGGCCGCTACAATGACTCGAGAACGCTCTTCGTCTTCGTGTCAGTAACTTTGATCCTGGCTGGATATCTCATGGCTATTATCATCCTCCAGCACTTCGTGCGCCTAGAGTCTCGGATCATCAAGGCCTTCTTTTCCATTATGCTGATCATTCTCTCCATCCCAGTTCTTGTGGTTCTGAGACAGGAATCCAAAACCCTCCGGCATCGCCATCGCGAAGAAGTTGATGTCGATCTAGTGGAGAACGCAGCGATAGAAACTCCTCAAACAGATTATCAAGACGTAGATCGTCCGGATCATGGGGCAGACGCCGCTGCTCCAGCTATCGCCTCGCACATTTCGATCTTCTTCTTTAAAGGATCGCCCGTCAAGCGAGGAGATGATTTCACAATCCTCCAGGCGCTCTGTAGCATCGACATGTTTCTCATCTTCGTGGCCTCAACCTGTGGTATTGGCGCCGTGCTAACCGTGACCAACAATTTCGGCCAGATTGGAACGTCCCTTGGCTACTCCCAGGCCGGAACAAACACTTTCATCGCCCTCCTTAGCATCTGGGACTTCATCGGTGGCGTTGGCGTTGGCTTCATCTCAGATATATGCCTCGCCAGCTATGGCGTCGCAAGGCCCTTCTTCCTGTGCCTGGTTCTCTTGCTTCTCTCGCTTGGGAGCTTGATAATCGCTCTTGGGCTTCCCGGAGCGCTCTTCTACGGCTCGGTTTTGATTGGGTTGTCAATCGGTGGCCAGTGGTCGGTTCTTTACACCATGATAGCGGAGATCTTCGGGCTCAGGTTCTATGGGACGCTCCAAAATGTAACTTACGTCGCTAAGGCGCTGGGAACTTATGTTTTGTCCGTCCGGGTGGCAGGAGTTTTATACGACCGCGAGAGTAAGCTTGGACCAAGCAATGGAAGTTTGGATGGTGATGAGCTCCTTTGCCATGGACCACATTGCTACAGAACAACCTTCTTCGTCATGGCTGGAGTGTGCTTGTTTGCATCCATTGTGATCTTGATCTTGTCCATTAGAACAACAAAGTTTTATAGTGTCACTCTTCGAAAAAGACTAACTGGTTAATAAATGTTAGCTGCTGAAATGAATAGTAATCTTCTATAAGGCCATATATGTTTTAAGCAATTACTCACTTGAGTTATTATTTTAAATGCAAAGTCAAACCAGCCAATTGATGGTCGATGTTTTATGGGATAATTTCTCAATAAGACAGATAATCATGCAAAAGAAAGACCATGAGATAAATCATTTCTCTTGTATGCAATGGATATTAATATATATAATCAGAAGAAAAAAATTGTAACAATCATTAGCAAATATTTACTATTTAATTTGGTGAGATTAAATACAGTGTAAGACTTCTTTTATTGTATACTGCTTCTAATCACTTTATCTACCAAGCTTCATGATAATAAACTACATGAAAAATTAGAAACTCAAAAAGTAAATAATAATTAACTAACTATAAAATAGAGAGAGCATAGGAAAACAGTTATAATGAGGATTGCCACATGGCAAGTTGCGCAAAGACAAATATAAAATCTATTTACTTACACCAATGCTTTAGTTTTAAAGTATATTATCTTGAATATTAAACAAACCTTTAAAATTTTCATTACTTTGCATTTTTAATAAAAAAAATCATTTGCTGCACTTTGCATGTAGCAATGTTTGGTTATAATAGTGTCATTCCTGTTTATTATTATTGAATAATCTAATTGATCAATAATTATAAATATATTTAAAAATTACAGATTTGCTTAAGCAATCCAAAAAAATAATCTAAAGTATTGAACTATAATAATTTACTCTTTATAAACTCTTTAATTATAAATTTAGCTTATAATAGCTAAAGGACTATTTAATTTTACCATTATCTAAGAGTCCATTCTTCAGACAAAATCTATAAACAAAGTTCATCATTGAAATTTCTGTTTGTAATCGCTCCACAACTGATCCACACTCTTTCCAGTCAAATCCTGGAAGTAGCTTTCACTCCACCCATCATATAGCTTCTTGTTAAGCTCTGCCACAAAGCTGGGATGGAGATCGTTGACATAGTTTAGAAACAGTGCAGTCACGGTATACCC